CACTCTTGTCATGCATATATTTTCATTTCCATCGAATCGCCAAAATTATTCAAATGAATTCAGAATGGATGCGCCAAGTCTACCGCCTCTGCTGCGGTCCAGGCAGAAAAATCCCGCACCCATGGAAGATGTCATTTGGAAAGGAGCAGTCATGTCCTCCACGGCTGCTGTGATTGCTTCGGGAACAAAAGCCGGGCGGAATGAGGATATTATGGACAGTTGACGTCCTCCCCCACATATCTCTATCGTCTTCTCGCGGAGTCCCACCCCTTTTTATGTGTGTGTGCGTATATTTTCTGCCTTTTAGCCAAACTCTTAAATCTTGCTTGCCGCATGTACTCTCCTCCCTCTGCAGAATGCAAAGCGGTTATTGTCAATGCCTTCAGTGAACATTCCTGCTGTCGCACGCAGGACGCCCGCCCCCTTTTAGACCATTAAACCAGATTTCTTCGCAGACTTCCGCACATCCTAGTAGACAAATCAGCCGTAACAAAGAAACGACGGTCTGTCCTGCAGCCCTCGCATCCAATCACCCCTCACAAAACGCCGCATCATCACCATCATGGCGCTTTTTGTTGCCACAACTCAGAGATGCAAAGCCGTCACACGCGGCACTCATATCCTCCAACGCATTCTGCATTTATTTCATCACCGCTCACGTTGTTGCTGCACCGCATCTCCCAAACCGCTGCAGGGACCCAAAAAGGAGGAGTTGTATCCTCACGCTTCCCAAAATCGCCCACAATCCCTACTGCATCAACGGCAGCCCGGAAAAACGCAGACAAACAGACAGACAGACAGACGCCTAATCCCTACCCACCTGCCATACATGCACAACGTTAAAAAAAAAAAAGGGGGAAAAAAAAAACGGTAAAACAAAAAAAAAGCAAAGAAATGCCTTTCTTAAAAAAATTCACCCGTCATTAAAATCACCTGCACATCCCTCGCTCTTTCACACGCATCGTATTTTTATCCAAAGGGCGAAGGAGATGCGTAAACCCCGCCAGTTTTCATGGAAGGTTTTTTGCACACCCGCCACTGGCAAATTTATATCCTTGGGGTGCACATGACGGTACGATCATACGGAAATTTTTTTTTTAAAGCAAAAAAGGGGGAAAAAAAAAAGGTGCAACAAAGAAATAAAAATAAAAAGGCAAAATAAGCCGTTTGCCATTGACCTTTAAAAAAGTCTAGCACTTGCATCCCTTTGATTTTCTACCGGCCGATCCATCGCCACCGCCGCCGCCACCGCTGCCAGCACGACGGTCACCACCATAACACCGCGATAAATTCACCTTGGACGCTTTTTTGCTCTTCTGCTGCTGAGAGTTCCGTGACTCTGCAGCGGTTCTTCTTGCGGTGTCTTCTGCACGTTTAAATCGATCTTCAATTTCCCGCTGAAAGTCACCCGAATCAGCGCTGCTGTACTCCGTCGTTCTCCGACACTCATCCTCGTCCTTGTTGCTATGTAACAGTAAATTGGAATTATTTCCTTCCCTTTGAGCCGATAGAGGACCCAATTGACGGGGTCCTCGTAAGAGGGTGTGAGACAACAGGGGCGGTGACGCGGGCTCTTCACCATAAATGGAACTCGTGTGGCTATCATACCGGTTTTTATCTTCCAATGAGTTCTCCTCTAAAGCCGCGGCACACTCACGAACGGAGGGATTGACTGCCACCTCACACGCCTTTAAACTTTTGGAAGGAGGCATGTCATAGGGGTCGGCATGTTTCTCAGTGACATGAGGATCCTTTGCGTCCTTGTTGTGGGCGGCGTTGCTGTCATTGCCTTCGCTCGTAGAATAGCCCGCTTTCGTTGGTGACACTTCCGTCCCCGCGAAGGATGCCGCGGCTGTCGTATCAACAGCAGAAGTGGTGCTATGTCCTTTGGGAAGCACGGAGTATTGCAGCTGTGTTCCCGCTTCCCCTGTCGCAGGCTGCAGCTCTTCGATTTCCTCCCCGCCATGCACTTTAAGCAGAGCCTGGCATAAGGAATGCAGCAGGCCACTCACGCCAATATTTGTGACGGCACTCGCCTCGTGGTAGACGATATCCGGAAGTGCGTCCAAGAGTCCCAATTGGACATCACGCTGCGTCACAAACTCCGGCTTATGGCTTGATAATTCCTTCTCCTTCGATGTCAACAGGAGGTCCGTTTTGTTCCCGACCACAATCACACTCCGCTGGTCCAATTCCGGGTTGTGGCGAGCGGCCGTGCTCAGGTGCGTCGAGAGCAGCGAGTCCAGGCTGCGTCGATCGCTCACGTCAAATACGGCCATCACGGCAGATGCGTTGCGGTGTGTTGTGGCATGTACCGCGGCGTACCGCTCCAGCCCCGCCGTGTCCCAAAACTGCAGCCGCACATGTTGACCACCACGCACATTTCGCACCACACGTGAGAAAAAATCAGTGCCGACTGTCGGCGTCACAGACCGGCAGGGGTCACTCGCAGCGGGAGACTCCTCCGCCAGCGTTACGGCCGCGTCATCCCCCCGCTGTGTGTAGGGCACACTGAGAAGTCGCTTTACAAGTGACGTTTTGCCCACGCCATAGTCGCCCACTACGACAACTTTGAACACAAACTCCAACTCTTCGTTCAACTCCGTTCCGGTGCTCTCGTCGCACGTGGCCGTAGCCGTCTCCGTGCTGGTCATCTCCTCGTACATCCCCGTAGATGCCGATGAATTTCTACGCCTCCCCGCAGTGTACGCACGGAAAGAAAAACTGTTCCTGTGGCCGTTCCTTCTCCTCCCACCTCGTATCAGCACGAGCGGGCAGAGCTGCAACACCGCCGCCCTCCTCACGTGTCTCCCTTGTCTTTATAACCCTCCCTTTTGCCTCTGTTCTTTTCAGGGACGCCGTGTGTGACTGGCGCCAAAAAAAAAAAAGGTGCAAAAAATAAAAATAAAAAAGCATAAAAGGACCCCCCACAAAAACTACCCAGCCGGGTCTGTAGAGCCACGCCAAAAGCCACAGCGCCCACAACACCCCCTTGCAGAAAAAAGTGTGGCAATGGAAGTGCGTGGACCCTGCCACTCCGTGAAATGCACCGTCGTGCCGCTGCCGACACAAACAAAGAGCGCATCGACGCGCATAAAAAATTAGGGAAGTGGGGAAGGGGAAGCACTAAACAATAAAAAAAACATATACTTTGAAATCCCCCGCGCTGCGCAGCAGCAACACTGGCAGCAACAGACAAACTATCCACCACCCGTCGGACACACACACACACGTAGAGAGAGAGAGAGAGGGAAAGGGGGAGAGAGGCATACCGAGCATTGTAATACACAAATTGGGCCGCGGTATTTGACTACGACAGAGACGATAGCGCGGACGGTTGGAGAGGCGAAATGTTCCCTCCGCAACGGAGTCCCGATTCATTTATGCAAAAAAAAAAAAAATACAAAAAAAAAAAGAACATGGCGGGGTGTAAAAATACAACAATCGGGAATAAATCACATCCACAGCGCAGGAAGTAAACCGACACCCTTATCTATCCACCCACCCACCCACCCACATCCAAAAAAAAAAAAAAAGAAAGCAACTGGATGTGTGAAAATGCGGTGAGGTTCATGCGGTGTGCCTTTCCTTCATTCATAAAGAAAGTATACATGCACAATTCCCTCCATATCTCCCTCTCTCTCTGTGTGTGTGTGTCTGTTTGTGTCCGCCCTCACATGCATCCTGGTGGCTGGAGCAGCACGCATAACCCTCCCATCATCACCAACGTGCGGTGTGTATTTGAGGATTATCCTCTCACCAAAACAAACAAACAACAACAACAATAAAGAAAAAAAAAAAAAAGGATAACCAAAGGGGAGGCACACACACACACGCACAAACACACACAATGGGCTCTATCATCCCACAAGAAACCAACAGCAAAACCCAACCACTGAATGCAAACACAATTACACGCATAAATATAAATAACAAAAGGGGGAAGCAACAACAACAGAAAAAAAAAAAAAAAAAAGATTGACCGGATTCATCGCAACAAAACGCCCTTGGATCTCCATAAGAAAACAATAAAATATATATTTATATATATCCTCTCCTTCCTCCTCCTCCTTTTGTTGTTGTTTGTTTGTCTTCTTTTCTGCCCCTCTCTGTTCTGTTGTCATCCTACACAACTCGCTTCGTTATTATTCACTTTTTTCCTTTTTTTTAATTATTATTATTGTTTTATTTTCAAATAAAATGTTGTTGTTTAACTCCCTTCTGTAGCTACTTGCCACCTGCAGTCTGCATGCCTCTGTTTGACATAAACTCCCTCCTCCCTCCTTCTCTTTAGTGCCCAAATAAACACATCGAGAAGGAGTAAAGAAGGAAATAAAGACAGACATTTATTTATTTTTATGCACGTGCTTCCATCTTCAAAATATTTTTAAAAAAAAATCCATTGCGCCTATCCAAAAGCAAAAAAAAAATAAAAAATAAAAATAAAAAGATATTTGTGGCAATTGTTCTGTTTGTTTGTCCTGTTTACACCGTCACTGACGATCTCCCTCTTCCCACATGTACGCAATGACCCCCTCTCCATTTATAGAGAGCACGCCCATGTACTTGTGGGTGCATGCATGCTTGTATTGCTTGTATTCCCCCCTCGCATATGTGTCCTTCACATTACCACTGAAAACAACAACAACAACAACAACCCCAAAGAAAAAAAAAAGTACGTGTGACAATTTTTATTCCTAAATTCAACGGTTTTTTTGTTTTTGTTTTTTGGTTTTTGGTTTTCCTTCTCGTTCGTTCCTCTTCATTCCCTCCTCATCTTCTTAGCAACAAAAATGAAGGGCAATGACAGTAATAAAATTAACAAAGACAATAAAGCGCAGTCGTCGTCGTCGTCGTCGTCGTCATAAATAATAAAAATAATAAAAGTAAAAAAAAAAAAAAAAATGAACAAATCATCGTTTTCCCCCAAACACATCTCAGTCACATCCATCCATCCATTCATACATATAAATATAAATATATAAATATATGCATACATGTGTGTAAATCCACATGTATGCACACACACACACAGAGTAAGAGAGTAAGAGAGTAAGAAAGAAAGAGAAAGAGAGATACAAATATATAAAAAAAAACAAGGTAACATATATTTATATATTCATATATCCATCCGTCTAATGTGGATGTATTTCCGCGTATATATTTATATATCATGAATTTTAAAAACCGATGGATGGTTTGGTACGTACTCGTTGATTTCGGGTACAAATTTTGTACCCGTTCACCACAAACACCACACCTTCTCGACTGTTTTCCGTTTTAAAAAAAAAAAAAAAAAAACATTTATTTATTCATTTGCGTCTCTTTTTTTTCTTTTTTTTTTTAATTTCTCCTCTTCCCTACATGTGGGTGTATGTAAACGGCTGCCAACAGCAGTGGCCCATACATACACACATGAATATATATATATATATATATATATATATATTAATCCTTCTTTGCTGTAGAAGTGAAGTCACACGAGGATCGGACCGTGTCGCATTTAATCCCATCGTGAAAAGAACGAGAAGCCGAAGCATCCAACGTTGACAACGCGGTATGGCTGCGCCTCCTCATCGCCGTTGTCCTCCATAATGGGTTCGAGCGCCCCCGGCATCCATGCCTGCAGCTGCGGTGAAGTGCCCTTCGGGCTGCTGGCGATGTTGTCTGGACCCTCCGCTGGCACCGTCTGACGTAGCGCCGCCCTTCCGAGGCAAATTTGAAGCAACTTCCGTTTCTTTCGATTCCAACTGACATGAGCCCGAACATCCGCGTCCTGCGCGCCCCACCAGTCGATAGGAACATGCGTCATCGCATCCCTCCTCATGTTGACCGACGTGAGTGTGGCGTCTACAGGATTTGTGAGAACTAGTTGCTGCTCGCATTCCTTTCTGTTGTGCTCGATAGTCTCATCTCCATTGGCGGTATCGTCATGCTGCAAGCCGGCAGCCGTATCCGGAGTACCAGAATCACTAATACTGCTACTACTAGTCATTGTCATCGTGTTGGTGGCGGTGACTGTGGGAATGGGGGATGACATGAGCACGGCGGCTGTATTCATGCGCTTCCAACATAAATGCAGCCACTGTTCCACCTCCCGCACTCCCACCTGCAACTCATGTTGCCGCTCAAAGAGCTCCATAGAGTGCAGAAGCGTGGCAGCAAAGCCAACACTCCCCACCGATCCAGTACCTCCATCAAAAAGATAATTCTGAACATTCCCAAAAAGAGTCTCCCACTTATGGATAAACTCATATGTGTAGTACTCGTAGTCAAAAGTACCAGAAGAAAAATAGGCGTAATACCTGTTTTTGGTAATATCCATCAGATCGTTGTCATCCTCATTCCCCATGGTAACCCCAGCCGCCTGTAGGTACAAAGGCACGTAGTTCACATAGAGCTGAGCTAAACGAAAATAAAGTTTCCAGGCGTGCCGCATAGATTCTGCAAGCAGCCACAAAAGTGCTATTTTCTGCTGTGACCTCTGTGCCAAAACTACACGTTCAATGTACTTCCGTGAATTAAGCTCGTAGCACCGTGCCCTCCTTTGGTTGGTGATTTCTGAAGCCACAACGGCGGAAGTATCCACGACTGTGCCCTCCTGCACCGATGAGACTAATGTTTTATCCCGACGCCTGTAATAAGCATACAAGAAATTCATATCTTGAATGTCGATTGCGTCATCCCCCTCAATAAAGCTGCTGTCATCTTCCGTTTCCTCTTCGGATATCCCAAGTGAGTTTACCAACCCGCAGATGTCAACGTTCTCTTCGGGTTCCGCCTCGTGATACGCCAACACGTCCCTACCAAATGTAACGGACTGTGATGGTGACGACAATACATGAGACGTCGCATCCGGCGAAAGGGCACTAAGACGACGTTGTTCCTCCTCCAACAACGCCTCTTCATCCCGCTGAAGTTCTTTTTTCTGCCGAGCCTCCATTTTCATCTGCTCGGCTTTTATCTGCTTCAGCTTCTGACGATCTGGAAGGGAATCGACAGGTAGGGATGAAGAAATCGTCGACAACGAAACGCCCAGAGCGGCTTCCGGATTTGTGTTCATGCGGCGTGTGTCCGTTACCGTCCAACGCGCAGATGAAGTCGCTCCATCACTGGCGGGAATCAACGACCCCAATTGCAGCGCCACATCTTTATCCACATGTTCAGAGCGTTGTAAAGGTCCCGCAAAGACACTCCTCGTGATTGTCAAAGACCCACCCTTCCCACTGCTGACAACAGGGGTGGGCGCATTAGTCAACTCCGCCCCTGACCTCAAGTTGGAGAGGGCGCCGCTGCTGGAGGCGTCTGCCGCGCCCTTCTTTCTGACAGAGAAGGCCTGCAGGTTCTTGTCGGGCAGCTCAGGCGCACACAACAACAGTCGCCAAAAGGGGAGATAACCCGCAAAGGAGTCTGCCTTGGGAAGGCAGGGTGAAAGCGTGGTGTCACCATCCTCCTGCGGCGTGTCCGTGGGGAGACGCTTCCGTGCGCCGCGCCACGAAAAGAGCAGCTGCGCAAGAGTCACCATGATCCAACTAGCACGTGATATCTTCTCCTTCTTTCTCTTGTTATGCACCACACACACTTCCACAGTAATCGTATAAATGTATTTGTATATGTGTGCAAATAACTGCCAGTGGTGGTGGTGGTGGTGGTTTTCGTCCTTTCCCCGCTGGGCCGTCCAAAACTCCCTCTCACACTCGTCAATTGAGGGCAGTTGACGTCCGCGGCAGCAGGAGGGAATAAAAGTAGGGGAGAAGCCTTGCAACCCACAGACGCAAAGGCGACGGGGAAAAATATGCTCCAAATCAATACCCTCCAATCGCCCCGCTCTCCCTCTTTCCCTCTCTCTCCGCCACTTGTGGCTGCAATCCTTTCAATAAAAGCAATAAGAGTCCAATTGCCCTCAGGCACTCTAAAAACACTGCAGGGGCAAAAACAAGAAAAAGGAAATGGAAAAAAGAAAAGAAAAACCATTGAATGTATGCATGCATCTAAAATAGGCGATGCAGCAACAAAAGGTTACGAACAAAAGAAAAACACATGTATATATATATATATATATATATATAACAAACAAAGTAGGATAGTAACTGATAGAAAAGGGAATATTCTACGAGCTCCCAGACACAAAACCTCACAAAACGAGGGGGGGGAGCAACACATACACACATACACACATACACACATACACACATACAAGTCCCTTCCATAACGGCAGCCCAATTCCTCGTTTATAAATTTACTTCGTTCGCACCCATCCTTTCAGGCGGTAGGAAATATCGCACGGGGACGTCAGCAGTAAACATTGTGTAGAGGGGAGGCATAAACCCCCCCCTTTTGTGGTGTGGCGTATCAGTTGTCCATTCCTTATTCCAGTAGAGTCGAAAACATACATCTGAACCCAAAAGAACCTCAGGCAGACACACACAAAAATACTAAAAAAAAAACTAAAAAAAAAAAAAAAAGAGCTGTCATTTTCTGGAAATCCCAGCAACATACAACAGCCATCGAATCCTTCTAAATAAATTCCAGGAACATCTCTTTAGCCCGCCCCGTAAGGAAAACAAAAAAAAAAAGTGGGGAACAGGGCGGTGTGATGTCTACTCACTCTTCGTGCGGCCATCACGCATGGCAGCTGTTTTCCCCTTCCTACGTCGTCTCAGCAAGAATCCAGCCGTAAGCATCGCCAGGAGGATAACTGGAGCCATAAGCGTCACGTTGGACGCTCTCCACGATTCAAATGACAAAAAATGGTGTTGCTTTTCTCCTGTTTTTTGCTTTTTGGCCAACCGTTCAATTGCTTGCCGCCGCATCTCCTCTTCCTGGACGATACTTTGAACAGCGGACGGCGTACATATACGTTGGTGCTCGCAGAATGCGCCAGCCTCGCCGAGTTGATGCGTCTCCTTGCCTTCTGTCCATGACTCTTCGTCGGACGTCTTACTGGCAGGCAGCAGTGCCGCAAATGCTCTCTGGGCCAGTGGCTCATTCACCTCCTCCAGCACGGCGTCGCACAAGGCATCAACAGCGTCCCGCACCGCTCTTCTTGAGCCAAACAAGTCATCTTCATGCAATCGCATTTGTTTCCCCTTTTCCTCCGCACTGTCCGTCTCGGCAGTAACAAACCCCAGCCTGTTATTTTCCACGCGATGAATTTCATGGACTCGGCGGCAGAGACCGTCCACGGCATCGTGCATCTTCACAACAAGACGCTGCCGTGCACCTGCACGAACCGCATCGCTGTCCTTTCGCCCTGTCTGTGACGACAGCGTGTGTAGGCCGCCCACAGCCGGCAGCATGACATCCTCGCGAAAAAGAGTGGCCAGCGCCACGCAGGTGCGGCAGCGGTACTCCTGCTCGATAGCGGCCGCCTCAAATTTCGAGCTGTCGCCATGCCCCAGCGCCACTCCGCACACATGCGGGGCGGGGAGCAACACAAGAAGCCACAAAAACCCCAGCGATGACAAGACGCCACGGAGCACCCGCCACGCCCTCCACGTTGCCCGCTCCATTACACCGCGATCTAACCACTCGTTACGGCCGGCAGGTCTGCTGTGTGTATGCGTAAATATACACAAAAGGCCGTAGAGGTGAAAATCCACAACAAAAAAAAAGGAGGAAAATAAAAGTAAAAACACACAACATCCGAAAGCCCGTAATAAAATGCGGTGGAAGGGAAAAACAAAGAAAAAAGTGCCTCTCCATCACACACACACACACACGCGTCGAAAAGAAAAAAAATAACACACAAAAAAAAAAAAAACAGAAAACAAACAAAAGCGCACACATAAATACTCCAAAATAATTTAAAAAAGGAAAAAAAAAAACATGTAAACATTACACTGGCGACCACCATAAGAAGGGAACAGATCACAATAATGTGTGAATGCTAACAAATTCATACAACCACAAAAATAATTTCAAAAATGCATAACAAATTGTGACAATTACCGCCATCCTACACGTTATTCATGTGCATTCTCCTTGTGGCTGTATCAATAGATAGAAATATATATATATATATACCACTAATCACAATAATAAGGCAGCTTTCCTACACGCTCCGATACTGCAACTATGTTTATTCCTTTAAACTCTCCTCTTCATGCCAATGTAAGTGGGAGACTTGTTGTTGTTGTTGTTGTTGCCTTGTGTGTGTGTGTACATGTATGTATTTATATGAGTGCGCATGAGTGAATAATGGGCGAATGCACGTCAATCAACCAACGCATGAATCTCTCCATATCACACAAGCGGCAATGGGATGGCACACTTGTGTGTACATGTGCACAGAGCACCACCGTCAAAAAAATTCACGTGAATTGCCGCAGCCAAAAAAAAAAAAAAAAACAAGCGGCACGCACAACAAAACAAAAAAAAAAGGGAAAGAAAGTCACACACACACACACACACAACAAAAACAATTTCTTTCTTTTTCTCACTCCTTCTCTTTCTCTTTGTTTTTTTCCTTCCCGCCCTCCCCCCCCTCCCACGCACAATTGCAGGCATCCCACCACACACGTGTGAATGACATCGTGCGCCAATACAAGTGGATGTGAGAACCCTGTGAGTATCCTCCGGCGTTCGTGCACCAAAAATTAAATAAACAAAAATGCAAAAGTAGAAGTAAAAAAAGAAAGAAAAAAAAAAAAAAGTTACATGCCTCTCCCCCAACAACCAGCACAAATAAACAACAGTTGCGTACATTTGAAAAACAAGAAAAAAAGGGGGGAGGAGAAGTGAAGGAACAAAAGAAGAGAGAAGAAAAAGAAAAAAAAACAGGTAAACACGTCAGAGAAGCAAACTTCTTGTTGTTTTGAAAGGTACATCACACCCCGTTGACGCATGTGTCTGCACCGAAACCCCCCCCCCCCCCCGTTGTGTCCACTTCGTCCTCACAAAAAACACTACCAACACCACCACCTCCATAAATACTCACGACGGGTGTCACTGTAGACAACAACAACAACAATAATAATAATAATAATATCCGTAAAGATGTGCAATGTATGCATGCATGTAAATATATATATATATTTAATTCTTAAGCCTCCTCTAACATACATTTATATTCCTCCCCTCCCTCCCTCGATATCTATCTATGTATGTATGTATGTTTTCTGTTATTTTCTCTTCTCTTTTTTTTTTTATCTCCCTGTTTTGTTTCCTTTCTGTGTGTGTGTGTGTCACTCCTCGCGTTGAGTAGGCGGTGCCCCTTCACACCACATGTCTTCTCCCCTCTCCCCCTCCTTTTTTTTTTTTTTTTCGGCACCACCATCATTACCGCCTTTCCATTTCATATGTGAACACCCACCACCACCACCACCACCAAAGAGACATTGCGGAAAGGAGACACACAAGAGCACATGCAAACTCCCTTCGTGTGCCAATTCATACATGTGCCCCCTCCCCCTCCCCCCCTTTTTTTATCCAACGTGTGCGTGGCGTCCATAAACATCCCCCTTTCCTTTCGCTTCATCAGCACGACTCACTTTATTTTCATCTGTTCCTGTTGCATTTATTTAAATAAAAAAAAAAAAAAAAAAAAACGGGATGGGGGTAAATTGAAAACATAATTCCTACTTGTAAATGCAGTGGAAGCATGACGTCTCCTCCGCTACCTCCCTCACCTCCGCCTCATCCCCTCATCACTCCCAAAGACTTAAGCTCATTTATATAAATGTAGTGTTTTTTTTTTTCTCATTTCCCCCCCTCCCCCCCTTCCTTTCCCCGTCACAGTCCCCACGGAAATCAATACTTATGCACATACGAACTTCTCCCTTGTTTGTTTGTTTAACAACAACAAAAAAAAGTAAATAAATAAAAATTATTTTTTCCCCGTTATTTTTTCTTCTCACTCTCCCTAACCCCCGTAGTACCACCACCATCACCACCACCACCACCACCCCCTAAAGCAGAATCCTTGCCGGTCCTATTAATTCCCTACAAATACAAAAGGGCCATGCACACACACACACACACATGTACATACATATAAATATACATGTATATTTATATTAACCCCTTTTTTGTGTTTCCCACGTGTGTGCAGCCACGCCAACGACGCATACATAAATATATAATATCATATAATATAATATTTATATATATACATATATGCGTATTGGGTAAATACCCAAGAAAAAAAAAAAAAAAAAGAAGCACACATATCCATCCGCCTATATCACTACCAATAAAACAGGTACACAATACCATTATTTCTATGACCCATATTGCCCCCCCCCCACCCCGGTTCCCTTTTCCTCCTCTTCCTCCTTCTTTCTTCATAACAATAAATATCATCTCAGTTCCCATTTATTACATAAACCAGTTATGTAATAATAATAAATTATTATTATTTTTATTCTTTTTTTTTCGTCCCTATACTAATTGTACTTCTACAATTTCATAGCATCATATATAAATATATATATATATCCATGTGTATGTATTATAGGTGCATG